ATGAGCTAAAAACGAGCCACAAGAAGTTCGTGTCATTAAACTTCACCCATAGCTACCCACGTGGGCCACGTCACTCACGATTCAGAAGCAACGGCCCACCCACGTCCAAGTGAGCCCACCCAAGCACTTTCTGCTAGCTTCGCTAAATCAACAAACTTCGCTAATCAGCTGTTTGAGAGCTATTCTCAAGTGGATAACCGCTCCTTCACTATCTCCTATTTTAATGGCCACTTAACCATAATTAAAGGTCATTAACTCTCTCGCCCCCCTCTCTCTCTCTCTCTCTCTCTCTTAGCCTATAAGAGAAGGAGGAGATTGTCATTCGACACACAATAGAGGGATCGAACACCCCATACTCGTGCGGCCTTTCTCTATTCGGTTCAAAGAAAAGACTAAACTATCTTTCAACTAACCAAATTAGAGATTAACAGCAAGAAACCCATCGTCTTAGTCGGACCGTCAACAGAGTGCAAGATCGATGCTCCATCAGCACGCAGCAAAGAACCCAGTTAAAAAAATTTCTTATTTCTCTTTTTATTGTAATCTATGTCAATTACAATACAAAGGACCCGAAACAGTCTTCTATTTGGGCTCACTAGGAAATGTCTCGAATGACGAGACGACACATCAGCTTCGATAGTCGTACTTCGCCACTCAGCCACCCTTACATTTAATATTGAATCTGAGTCATCATAACTCTTCGGGCGGAAGTAATAACTCCTCGAAGAATACTAGCACTTCAATCGCTTTGTCATTGTCATATTAAACACAAATGTGACTCATTCAACTAGCTGCTGACACGTATAAAGACGGTCTGATTAGCTGACTACACCGATCTAGTCAAATTACCAATATGCCCCTATCAACCCACTACATATAGTGGGCAATCTCCACGATTGGAAGTATGCAATTTAATGGTACATAACACCCTCAAACTAGATTTTGCATCTCTACGCAATCAGTGACTAACTTGAGCGCAAAGGGTATATCGGAAAGCCCAACTCCGATCCTCTAACGGTGTTATTTATGTAGGAACCTTCTCCCATTTTATTGATTAGCCATCAAAGAAGATCAAGGGATCATAAACTCCTCTAAACATCCACTAACCAATATAATCAAATTTCTGACAAACAAATAGCATGTGGTAGGCTGAAAAACCAATCATAACAAAAGGTAGAAACAAAAATTGAAAAATACCCCCACTAGCTTTTAGACTCTGTATTATTGGTGGCATCATATCACAAGTATCCTTATAGTTTGCTTCACATATAATTTATGGACATCTCATATAATACCGGAAGAGTTAACCAACTAAAGAACAGACATTTACATTTCTGGCTTCTGCAAACACAAATGTCGGAGAGCAGATCGTAAGACAATGCAAATCCTCTTATAATTTCACCGACAAATCCAGAGCCAAACGCATATCCTCAGTCATATTCCCTAACTCCTTTCATCAGCTGAATTTTCTTACCTAAAGACTGTATTGCACAAGCATAGCTCAATTCCCAGCTGTTCTCTTTCTTCGCCTCCCTGTTGGTGACATCGATAAAATTTTATCAATTATTCAAATTTGTAATACATAATAATGTACAAACAAGCATGCTTGTCATAATGCGATAATCCATACTAATTTAGTGCGTCCTTGATAACATTTAGTAAGTGTCAATATACAGAAACAGCAGTAAATAAGAGGGTACAAGAAAATCACATATGCTGCCTTTAAAATCACGAGAAAGCCAACTTAGATTTATGATCAGTTGTCGAACAAGAATTTTATTCGTGAACGAAGTTTATCAACGACGCAGCTGTTTAGAGTATACAAACATAAAGAGAGTTGCTATAATTTGTTATATTAGAGCAAGAAATGGAGCAAAATTAGAGATTCATAAAAAATAGTATGAATCTCATCTAAGGAACAAGATGCGAGAATTAATGAGAATTTCATCATGATAACATTTTATATAATAACTGCAATATATTCACGAAATTCACTGATTATTGCAAGTGTTAAAATATCATACTAGTCATGGTTCATAAATATAATGGACTGTGTGAAAATTTTGTGCCCATTTTCAGGCACTGTGTTTACTGATTAAACCTCTACTTAACTTCACCTAGTGTTCCATTTCTTTTTTTCTCAAACTACTCAAAATTTTGATTGAGGCCCTCCATCCTTATGGCTCTAATCATATTCCTAGAAGCCAAGCTTGTTACACTTTCTACTTTAGGATTGATTAGGAAGCATATTAACTAAATGAATGCATCTTCAACCACCTAAGCAACAAAATTAAAACCCTACACTAGAAAAATAATAATAACATGGCAAACACCTAGCCATCGAAAGAAACTCCAAATGCAAAATGCTAATAAAACTTTAACAATCTATAAAACATTAACAATCTATGTACTTGGGTACTCCTAACTGAAGTCATACCCTTACCCTACACATCTCGTACCTGTATCCATACCCAAATTCCTAGGACACTCCTCGCACACATGAACACATTTATTCGAGCATGCACTCACTTATGCAATATATATTTTAAGTAAAAACACTTCTCATACACTTCTTGGACACATATCCCACACACACTTTATTTCCATTTCCTAAAACTCATGGGACAGTTGGGTTTCGAACTATTATTTTAAAGGGTCATTGGGTGTATCGTTCAACAATGATGGTTTTCCAATTTCTAATCTACATAATAAAAGAAACATAAAAAATTATAAGAATCTAAACTATTACTTTCAGTATTTAATATATGTATCTAAATATAATATGTATATAGCCACGTTCCTGCACCTAGCTTTTTACAAATTTGTCATGTTTCATACCCATACCCGTACTAGCACTTGTAGCCGTTCCCATGCAACTTGATTACAAGTCTTTTTCCAATGAAATGAACAGATGAATTCAGGCTTCATCACATACGACGTGATAGTATCCCGGCATCAGAATATAAAATTAGTTAAAAGTATAAAAATAGAACCCCAAACCCTTAGCAGAACGTCAGAGTTCTACTATAATGGAAGAGACCTTTAAGATGGGAGAAGAGCAACCCAGATTCAAATCCACTAGACACACATTCAGAGAAAATCTAAGAAAAAAAGGTTCTGTTGCGTAATATTTTGATTTTGGAATATAAAACTATATACCTTAGTCCTTACAGTAACTTAGGAGTTTTGGTATGGTAAAAGAGTTTTTTTTTAAGACCCCAAATCCTGACAAATGCATGCTGAACATTATGAGGATTCCTCTCACATTTAAGACAACCAAACAAAAAGAATCAAGACTAACAAGAATCAAGACAAACACGATATTGGTTATGTTAACACATCAATATTAGCAATATAAATTGTTATATTCCACAGCTTGAAGATCTTACCGTGTGAGCCTTTGTTCCAAAGAACCTGTGAGTCAACAGTAGAAAGATGTTCATCATCGAGCCGCTTCCAAGACTTAATGTACTTCACACCTCCCCATTCACCATCGAGACTCTTCTCCAGGTATGCCAATACAACTCTTGCCCTCCTCGACCACCCTGCTTTCCCATAAGCATGGTACCCAAACCCTCCAGCGTAGCACAGGTGAATGCCAGTGAGCTCCCCACAAAAGTCATTCAAGTGATCATGACCGGTGAATACAATCTTCACATCTCCGGCCTCAACCATGGTTGTGAAGAAACCCGAGTTAACGGAGGGTGAGCTGATGCCTTCTTGCTTGACTCCTGTGAAGTTGGATGCGTCGAAACTGCTGTATTCTGGCAATGGGATGTGGAAGTATGCAATGGCTGGAGCTGGATGTTTCTGTGGTTGTGGTTGGCTTTTGTACACTTTCTGCGTAATGAACAAATAATATAAGAACTCAGCAGACAGCACTGCAGTTTAGAGTTACACATATTACACACCGCTCAGAATTTTGGTTCTTCCAATGAAGCCATCTCTAAGAGAAGATTCAACCACTAGCAAATTTGGTCATCTTCCTCCTCCATAAACATGTTTAGAAGAGTCTTTGAAGTTGTTTCTCATGAGCTTAAACTACATAAATAGTGCAGTATCTTCTTCTTAACTGCTAGCTATGAGCATGTGAACCTCTATTTCATTCGTAATGTTTGTGGACGAGAAAACTGTTAGAATATAAAAATATAATCCTTATAACTTTAGAATTTTCGTGTAATGGTTAAGGACTTTAACATGGTATCAGAGCAACTCAGGTTCAAATCCCACCGGCCATGTTTCTAAAAATTGACACCGCTCGTGAGTCCAATTTTCGGCCCTTAAAAAGGGTGCTGAACCTTTAGGGACATGTTAGAATATAAAAATATAATCCTCAACCTTCACCATAATTTCGGAGTTTTGATGTATTGTCTAGACACTCACATGCTATTACAGGCTCTAATCTTGTTGGCCTAGAATTTAATGCGGATTTTATAAAAATTGATACTGCTACGTCAGCCCAGGTTTCAGCCCACAAAGAAGACGCTCAACCTATTGGGGCACGTTAGCATATAAAAATATAACTCTCACCACAACTTTGGAGTTTTGGTGGAATGGTTAGAGGGTCTTTAAGAGAAACTAGGCATCACATTGGATGATTACGCTAGTTGGTTTTCAGAAGTAAATATTTCTTGAATCCAATAAGTCTTCTTAATATTCTCCATAGTCAAATCCATTTGGATGAGGGAAGATGAGAAGTTGACAACCTGATATTTCAATCTAAGCTAACATGATAACCACATCGATGACTTTCTAATATTACTATAGAAAAAGTTGTAGCATGATATTTCAATCCAAGCCAATAAATAAGATTATTCCATTTATTGAAACTTCTGATTTAGAATTAGAAAGTTATATCATGTAACAGTAAATGGGATAATTGGAAGAGACGGCTTTAAAAAGGAATAATTTCATCCAACCTTGGCTCTTTTTATCAACATTGCTTCCACTCAAAGCTGGTTCCAATTAGTCTTGATCCATCTTAAGCCATACACAACATTATTTTGAAATTTCCTTATGGATTTATGACAGGATTATAAGTGTTTAGTTCGATCCAGATCAGACTTTTGGGTAAATTTTGCAGCCTACAAAAGAGCTATTAAATGGAGTTTCATCCGAGCGTAGCAAATAAGGACCGATCAAGTTAAAAACTTTCTCAATCCACTTTCTAACAAACCCAAATCTGAGTTAGTTTAGAATATTGGATGTTGATCACAGATCTTCATGTAGCACGAAAAAGGAAATATTTGAAGTCACTTTATGCTCACCTGTAGGCGGGATGATGTTTTCTGGAACCAGACTTGTTGAGATGGCTTAATCCAACCATAACCGGGAATAAAGGGAACAGTGGAGTAATCCCCACTATCCAAAAAATACAAGTTCAGCACAGACTTATTCGCAAGACTCGATCCCTTAACACCCAATACTTCCAAGTTATAGTTCCCAAATCCATCATCCTCACAATGTGATGCATCACGCCTTCACGAGAGAGTGTGCCTTCTTGGTCATGGTTACCAAGAACTGCAGCCCATGGAAGCTTGAGTGAGACCGCAGGTGCAAATGCCATGTTCATTGATTTGGCTGCATCGGTTGAGTCAGAGCCAAAGATGTTGTCACCTGGTCCAAAGTTCGACATTGAGTACTTGAATGTTCGTTTTGCACAAATAAAATATGCTTGTATAGAAGAGAAACAGGAGGTTTTTTCCCCTAGTAAATGAACATTGCACTTTTGCTATATTAGACACCCAAGGCTCCCTTAATTCTAGGTTTGACCCCCAAATCTTCATATTTGTAAATTAGGCCCCCAAATTCATTCAGTTGTTTTAAATTAGACCTCATATTTGAAGTTGTTTTGAATAAGATGCCCATTTTGAACCAATATAAAGATTTCAGTGTCAAATTTACAAATATGAAGAGTTGAGGTTCTAATTTAGAATTAACAAAACATTTGAGGATATTCTATAATAAAAACACACGAAGATTTAAACATGAGACTGTGGTTTAGTTAGTCTTAAAAGTTTCAGGAAAAATGCTTCAAAGCACTATAGGACTGGAATTTGTTAAGCAATTTGACTAAGAAACTGCAATCATATATTCCTTCATATGCATGTTCAGTCATTTCAAATTTTATTGCCGAGGCATTTTGATGTAGATTCGCTTGTTAACAGTGAAATTTAGTAAAGTTTAGCTATTACAGATTATGCATTATGACTTATGTTAAACAAGCATGGCACCCTAGGATATGTGTATGATAATCAATAACATTCTCTGAAGGTAGAGAACCACAGACAGTTTCTCATAAACGATCTCACTCCATTACATGTTAGAAGTTTAATTTGGTTTTGGCATCAGAGAACCGATATAATTTTTATAAAAATATTGAAAAAACTGTAATATGTATGATGTATCATCGTTTCATAGAATCAGCACTTACATTTTCCTTGTTAGCAAAGCATGAAACAAGGAAAATATCCAGGTGCATGCGACTGGGACTGCTGATAATATCCACAAGGTGATAGGAATAAATAATCAGAGAGTTCCTAATTGGACCCAAGCCTCAAAGACCATGTGACCTTGATTGCTTAATCATACAATCAACGTTAGGATTGAATGGAGGGAAGAAAGACTTGAGTTACTTCCCACATGACCTCTGAATCCAGTTACCATTACTGTTGTGAAGCAACAGTTGATAAAGATTCAATATAGACCATGCAAGACACAAGAGAACACACACCAACAATTTCAGTGCAGGAAAACATCAAATAATTCAACATATGATAGGTTTCCGTTTTAAAATGAGGATTATCAGTTTTTTCCATATTAGTCCCTTAAAGCTTTCATATTCTGAAATTAGTACCATAAATCATTGAAATTGCTAGTTCCCCCAATAGATAAGTTATTTTAAATCAATCTCTCAAATCATTGTAATTGCTATTAGGTCCCCAAATTCTCATAAGTTGTTTCAAACTAATCCCACTAATTGCTACTCTTACTCTTGACTAGAAGGACTAATTTAAAAAATTTATGAGAACTGGGGGCCTTGATAGCAATTACAATGATTTGAGAAACTACTTTTGAAAGAATTTAAGAATTGAGGGATCTAATAGCAATTTCAACGATTTGAGGGGCTAATTTTAGAAAGACCCTACAAGTGATTATTGTCAAAAGTATCAGCCTAAGAAAGGATTCAAAACTATATAAGGTAACTTTTATAGAGAAACTGATCATTGATTCTTTTTGGGATAAAAAGATCATTTATAAATCTATGTCCATTTTCCTTCACCAATTTTGAAATTTTAGGGCATCATCCTCATCCTCTAATATAAACAGTGAAAATCCAACCGAAAAATGGGAAAATAGAAAATGCTTGTCATGGGAGTACTTCAAAGTTTGAGGGCATTCCGATAAATAAAAAAAACATGACGCACACCAGGAGAACACCAAACTAAAAGGGGAACTATTAGTAAACATTAGTATTCTGATGTACGCAATGTGTTGTATAATCGAATGTCTGATTATTTCAAGTGTGAGGGCATTCCCATTGATTTTTGCAATGGTAATGGCGTTTACATAGATTTTTTTGTAATGTGAGGGAACTTACGTTGTTTTTTGCAGGTGTTAGGGTGTTATTCTTCAAAGTGAGAAGGCATTTTTGAGATTTATGAAAATGTGACACATGATGAAGAAGACCAAAAGAAGGGCTGTTCATGAATATATGGCTTTATTGCACTTTGATACCCCCAAAGTTTCACCCATTCTAAACTTTGATTCTCCAAAGTTAATTTTTGTCAATTTGTTACCCTAAAGTTTCACCCATTTAGAAATTTGATACCCCAAATTTGTTTTTGCTCATTTGATTAGCTAGTATTTCAGAAAATTAACTTTGGTACAACTTGTTTTGGGAGTACTTTAAAATTTTCTAATAGATTCAGATCATGTCCTTAACACAGTCTAATTTGAATTTTCATACCTTTATAGCCATTATAAACGCCTCTAAATGAGTGAGAATTTCCAAACTCTGCAGTCACACATATTATTTGGGACGTTCGCAGTAACATTTCCACCACTTTTACAGCGTTTATGATAACAATGCAGCTATTAAAGTACAAATCAGATTGCATGTTAAGCATGTGATCTCAATTTAAGAGAATAAACAGTCCTGAAAGCCTTGCAGTGTCAAATGAGCAAAAATAAATTTTGGGATATCAAAGTTCGAAATGAGGAATCTTTGGAGTATCAAGTGTGCAAAAACAAACTTTGACATAAGAAAGTTCGAAAGGGGTGAAAGTTTGGGGTACCAAAGTGCAATTAAGCCTAAATATACAGGTATAGACATGTAATAAATTGTGGGCTTGAAGTGGGAGTGAAATATTGATTTTCGGAGAAATTTCACTAATTCCATGCAAAGTTTAGATGATTTCTCCAACCCGGATTGTCGGTTGAAGAAAATGAATTATTTTTCGGGCTATGGAATGCAACATTCATCTGCTCTAGTGGTTGGTTGTTTCCTAAAGGAGTACATTCCTCTAAAACATGGGCTTCATTTCTCTACAAAATTAGTAAGGCTAAATATCCCACTATTTTAAATGCCTCATAGTTTCACCAGCATTGCACTTAAATGCCCCCTATTTAAAAACCGAGCAATTAAATGTCTCATTGCTTCCTCTATTAAAAATGGTTTTACATAAAAATCATTTTAACTTTTACTCAAATTGCAACTTATCAACTTAGTTTTTATTTTTTGATAGAAACCACCTACATTTGCTAACATGTTCTCAATGTCACTTTTTTGTATTTTTGCTTTTACAAAATCTAAAAATTCCCATCAAATCCAGAGGAAGGAGAGGAGGAGGAGAGAAGGAAGAGAGGGAGAGGAAAGCAGGAGATGATGGGGTCGATGGCAGGAGAGGAGGAGGGAAGGAGGTTGTTGGCGAGAGTGGAGAGAGAGAAGGAGGAGGAGGAGAGGAAGGAGGTGAGAATGGAGGAGGGAAGAGGGGAGGGGACCGAAGGGCAGGAGAGAAGGAAAGTGGTTAAGATTTGGAGAAATCCTAGATGTGGAGGAGATGGTGGGGGAGGTGGGGGAGGATGGGGAGGGAGAGAGGAGAGGGAAGGGTCGAGGTGGAGGGGGAGAAGAGGAGGGAAGGGATTTTGAAGAAACCTTATGGCCTGTTTGGATGGAGAGTAGAGAGGGGGAGGGAAACAAAAATGTAATTTTAACGTTGTTTGAGAGTTGCATTTAGGAGGGCAGAGGAGATGAATGGGAGGAAATTTTGTGCCAAAATGTTGCACCCCAAATTGGAGGGTAATAAATGGAAAGGAAAGGAAGGGGAATTTTTCCCCTTCCTTCCCTTCCGATGTATGTTTGGGAGTTCACTTAGGGAAGGGAAGGAAGAGGAAGGAAGGGTAAAAATTCCCCTTCCTTCCCTTCCCCTTCATAACCCCAAAATTTGGGGTGTAACATTTTAGCATAAATTTCCCTCCCATTCCCCTCCTCTACCCGCCTAAATGCAACTCCCAAACGATGTTAAAATTACATTTCTCTTCCCCTCCCCCTCTCTACCCTCCATCCAAACAAGTAAAGTGAACTCCCAAACATACCATTTAGAGGTGAAGAAGATGGTGGAGGAGGTGGAGGATGACAGGGAGAGGGAGAGGAGAGGGAAGGGAGTGGAAGAGGATGGGCAGGGGGAGAGAGGAGGTAAGGGAGGAAGTGGAGAAGGAAAAAGGAGAAGGAAAGTGAGGAGGTGGAGAGAGGAGAGGGGGAAAATAGGTGTTTTTTAATCTTTTTGAGCTGAGTAGTAGATAGGGTGCAACATTGAGAATATGTTAGCATGTTATCTATCAAAAATAAAAATAAAAACTAAGGTGGTAAATTGCAATTTAGGTAAAAATCAAGATAGTTTTCATCTAAGAACCCGTTAAAAAAACAATGACAACGTTAATATTTTCCTATAATTAGCACTGTGTAGTCCATTATTCATCTTCAATGCTCTAAAAATCATAAAAAAACGAGAAGGGGGGGTTTTAGTATCAGCTAACCGGTGAACACAACGAGATCAGGCTTCTCAGCTCGAATCACACGGTAGATGAAGTCGGTGGTATTCAAATCGGAGCACGTCGGCATCTGACTCTTGAGCACGTCGAGGCATTTAGTCTCTTTCCCGTCGGCGAAGTGCATGTCAGCAACCTGAAGAATCTTGAACTCCCCATCAACCCTTCTCCCGAATCTCAAACCCGAGTCCGAGATCGGTGGATTTGGGCTTCTTGCTCCCCCTCTGATGTTGAGTCTGCATTGGGTAGGGGAGAAGAGGGGAGAGAGGAGGCAGAGGATGGTGGTGATGATGAGTGATGAGGTTGACTTCATTGAACTGCGTGAGTTGGATTTTTTTTTTTTTGGACTTTTGGATGTTAGGGTTTTGGGTTGGGTGAGCAAATTTCAGCAATTCGGATAGGTTTTACGACTAATTTGGTTCAGGTTGGGTTAAGTTGCTCTAAACCCGAATGCACCGAACCTACCATACATCCACTTACGTTGCACCCAGCTGCAGACCGCATGGCTTCTATTTCAATTTTCCATGTGGCCCAGTCAATGACTGATCTTCTCAATTCCCAACTTATTATTAGTTGTCATCCACAAATATCAAAGATAATGTGATAAACCTCTATGTCTTCCTCTTCTCCTAAGAGCAAGTGCAGCAAGCTCCCAGTTGGGAGTCCTAATCAGCAAGCTCCCAAGAGCTCTCAAGACATGGCCCGCCATTTCCAATGCCACATCACCCTACTAACTAATGTTGATCTCGAACAAACTCCTAGTTAGGAGCTCCACAATATCAAAAAAAACTCTCTTTTATTTTAGTTTTGTAACAATATCAAAAAAACCTTCTTCCATTTAACAACTATTTTCAACTTGGGTTTTGGGTTTAAAAGTAGGGGGGTTTTGTAAAAAATTTTTTTTTTAATGCTTGGGAGCTCCCAAGCGCTCCACAAATTTGTGGAGCGCTTAGGAGCTCCCAAGAGCTCCGGTGGGCCCCACTAGCCACATCAGCCCAGGGAGCCCCTTGGGAGCTTGCTGGGATTTTGTTGGAAGGGGGTTCACTAGCTCCCACCGCCACGTAAGCCTTGAGAGCGGCGGTGGGAGCTTGGTGCACTTGCTCTAAGCTATGAAGCACGGACACAGACACGGCGACACGGACACGACACAGACACGATAAAACCCAAAAAATAGGACACAGATGACACGACAAGATTTTTTAATATTATTATTATATATAGATCAATATTGAATTAAATTCCTATTACATTTTCTTTTTTTTTTTGTAATGTAAAGTGGATTATAAATAAGAAACTAAAGGAAAGTGTGTGTTGTAGGTGTGAATTAAGACGTCGGGATGTCAATGATCTCTTGGAAAATTGAAGATAATAATGTTAAAGAATACAAGAAAGAGAAGATGAACATATAGAAAAATAGATCAATTTTTATGTTATATTATTATGTAACATTGGCTTGTTTAATTAATGACAAATGTAAGTTATGTAACTGATTTGAAGATAATACCAAATTTTAATTTTTATTACTTTCATCTTGAGCATATCAAAATACAAGAGAATAAAGTTCAAGTTGCAACTAGTTCCATGACGATAAAATACTAAGTTACTAACATTGCAAAAATATAAAAATTACAACCAAAATCGTATCTTAAAAATAAAGTTTTCAAGTTGAAACATCTAAAGATTGTTCTATGGTTTCAACTCCTTCATCCTCCTCAAACATAACGGCCTCCATCGTGGGCTCGTCAAGAGAAAGGGCGGCAACATCTAAAATGTCGACACATTTCGACACATTGAAATGAGTCGAAGACATCTCCACTAATATCACGCATTCTTGATTCCCCTTCCATATACTCTTCCGAACTTTAAGAAAGTAAGCGAAGATTGGTGTGAACATAAACAAGATCCTCCGCACGTGTCAGGGTTAGCTTGTTCCTCTTTAAGAAGTGAATGAAACCATACGTACTCCAATTCCGTTCACAACACAAGAAGAGGAACAAGGTTGGCTTAGAAGCTTTACGGCCAATGCTTACAAATTTGGAGTACTTGCACCATAAAGAAGCCATCATGACTTAGGATCCATATGTGCTCTATCGAAAAGAGAACCAGGATCACTAAAAGCCTCCAAAGCCCCCACAAACTTAGCATATTCCAAGTTCACTACCCGTCGTTCATCGGGGTTAGGATAGTATCTTCTTAAGCACATTGCTCTTTCCGTAGAGATCTCAAGATCTTGATTTGGAGCTTGCCAATTGACGTTCTCATTGAGCCATGTGGAATGATAGTACATATGTTCGTTAATAACATGAATTAGCCCACAAGGTATTAAGTAATAGAAATATTCGCATTAAAGAGTGAATTCGTTAATAACATGAATTAGCCCACAAGGTATTAAGTAATAGAAATATTCGCATTAAAGAGTGAAATGTGAAATATTACCTTAACAAGGTATTAAGTAATAGAAATATTCGCATTAAAGAGTGAAATGTGAAATATTACCTTAGAACAAAAGTGTGTGCCAAGCACTGAAGCGGGGTATTGCTATTGTTCCATCGATCCACCAAGATCTTATGAACCACCTCATAAAAAGGAGATTCCTCGTTATCCCTTTTACCCTCATGCCTATAAATAGCTTGCTTCACCTTCTCAATCATTGTATCCCACATATCATACACCAAATGAAGACATGGTGTATCGATGCCGGTGACCATTGTTAGGTCTCATGTTATTTGTTGTATATCATGTCCTCATGATATAATTTTGATGATAACAATTTATTCATATTAAAGAATCAATATGTGTGTTATACATATGCACTAACATTTATATGCAGATTTAAATATCATATATGAACAAGTGCAAGATGAGTTCAACGTATTTTTTAATATTATTATTATATATAGATCAATATTGAATTAAATTCCTATTACATTTTTTTTGTAATGTAAAGTGGATTATAAATAAGAAACTAAAGGAAAGTGTGTGTTGTAGGTGTGAATTAAGACGTCAGGATGGCAATTATCTCTTGGAGAATTGAAGATAATAATGTTAAAGAATACAAGAAAGAGAAGATGAACATATAGAAAAATAGATCAATTTTTATGTTATATTATTATGTAACATTGGCTTGTTTAATTAATGACAAATGTAAGTTATGTAACTAATTTGAAGATAATACCAAATTTTAATTTTTATTACTTTCATCTTGAGCATATCAAAATACAAGAGAATAAAGTTCAAGTTGCAACTAGTTCCATGGCGATAAAATACTAAGTTACTAACATTGCAAAAATATAAAAATTACAACCAAAATCGTATCTTAAAAATAAAGTTTTCAAGTTGAAACATCTAAAGATCGTTCTATGGTTTCAACTCCTTCATCCTCCTCAAACATAACGACCTCCATCGTGGGCTCGTCAAGAGAAAGGGCGGCAACATCTAAAATATCGACACATTGAAATGAGTCGAAGGCATCTTCACCAATATCACGCATTCTTGATTCCCCTTCCATATACTCTTCCGAACTTTGAGAAAGTAAGCGAAGATTGGTGTGAACATAAACAAGATCCTCCGCACGTGTCGGGGTTAGCTTGTTCCTCTTTAAGAAGTGAATGAAACCATACGTACTCTAATTCCGTTCACAACACAAGAAGAGGAACAATGTTGGCTTAGAAGTTTTACGGCCAATGCTTACAAATTTGGAGTACTTGCACCATAAAGAAGCCATTATGACTTAGGATCCATATGTGCTCTATCGAAATGAGAACCAGGATCACTAAAAGCCTCCAAAGCCCCCACAAACTTAGCATATTCCAAGTTCACCACCCGTCGTTCATCGGGGTTAGGATAGTATCTTCTTAAGCACATTGCTCTTTCTGTAGAGATCTCAAAATCTTGATTTGGAGCTTGCCGATTGACGTTCTCATTGAGCCATATGGAATGATAGTACCTATGTTCGTTAATAACATGAATTAGCCCACAAGGTATTAAGTAATAGAAATATTCGCATTAAAGAGTGAAATGTGAAATATTACCTTAGAACAAAAGAGTGTGCCAAGCACTGAAGTGGGGTATTGCTATTGTTCCATCGATCCACCAAGATCTTATGAACCACCTCATAAAAAGGAGATTCCTCATTATCCCTTTTACCCTCATGCCTATAAATAGCTTGCTTCACCTTCTCAATCATTGTATCCCACATATCATACACCAAATGAAGACATGGTGTATCAGTGTCGGTGACCATTGTTAGGTCTCATGTTATGTGTTGTATATCATGTCCTCATGATATAATTTTGATGATAACAATTTATTCATATTAAAGAATCAATATGTGTGTTATACATATGCACTAACATTTTTATGCAGATTTAAATATCATATATGAACAAGTGCAAGATGAGTTCAAGGCATTTTGAAGTAAAGAAGATGAAGAACATACACGTCAATGTAATTGTTTTTACATTTTTTCTTTACTTAGAAATATTGTACAAGCCTTGATCACACACACACACACACATAGAAATTAGAATACACTAACACAGGCTTAGTGTGTTGGTTAACTATAGAAATCCCTTATGTTAACCATTAGAGTTATAGTTAATAATTAAGTGTCAAAACATTTAATTCATATCATTTTTTAACTCTTAGTAGTCGACTAATTAGAATAATAGTCGACTACTCATGTATGTGACCTAAATATAAGTTTCTGTCAGTTTTTAGTATAGTCGACTAATTTGAATAATAGTCGACTACTCAAGCTTATGACAGAAATATAAGTTTCTGTTAGTTATAGTATAGTCGACTAATTGACTTTATAGTCGACTACTGAAGGTAAAATACATTTTTTGAGTTTCTGTCTGATTACAGTATAGTCGACTAATGACCTTTATAATCGACTACTGAGAAATTTTCTGACTTCACAGAGTCTGTTTAAACTCAGTGTAGTCGACTATTCTGTCTTGTAGTCGACTACAGATACAGTTTTTCCAGATTTTAAAGTTTGAATTAATGACTGTTTATAGCCATTTTTAAACGTTTTTAAAGTCAAAATAATTGTCTTTTCAAGGGCTATAAATAGGTTATTTGTTCAGAAAAAATGTAGAGACTTACATACCCATAAGTTTTGATCATTGTGCATTTTTCAAGTGTAAAAACATTCAGATTTTGAGAAAAAGAAAAGTTTCTAAAATTGTCCTTGATCATCATTCAAATAATTATTATTTAGGCAATTTATAGAAGTTAGAATCATTCCTAAGCCATTACTACACAACACTACAAATCAAGGCTTATAGGAATTGAGTTGTTGCTTCAAAGAAGTTTTCTCGGTTTGTGAGAAGTGTTAATTTCTTGGTTTAGAGATTGGTATGCAAATTGACAAGGTGATTGTC